TAAACCTTGACTAGCTTGTCATTATCTTGACTATCTTGTCATTGTCTTGAAATTTAGTATTAGGTAATCTCTAAAGATTTATACTGGCTAGCTTGTCATGACCTTGAAGTTTAGTATTAAGTAATCCCTAAACCTTGACTAGCTTGTCATTAGAGCATTTTTGTAGAAAAGTATGGATTACAAAGAAAGTAAATACAGCAAAGCTGCTGGCAGGCCCGATATGATCTGGAAGAAAGACATAGGTCCCATCTGTTGTCCACATGACAGAGGAAGTAAGTACAGCAAGGCTACTGGAAGGCGTGATATGATCTGGAAGAAAGACATAGGTCTCATCTGTTGTCCACATGACAGAGGAAGTAAGTACAGCAAAGCTGCTGGCAGACCTGACATGATCTGGAAGAAAGACATAGGTCTCATCTGTTGTCCACATGACAGAGGAAGTAAGTACAGCAAGGCTACTGGCAGATCTGATCTGGAAGAAAGAGATAGGTCTCATCTGCTGTCCACACGACAGAGGAAGTAAGTACAGCAAGGCTGCTGGCAGACCTGACATGATCTGGAAGAAAGACATAGGTCTCATCTGCTGTCCACACGACAGAGGAAGTAAGTACAGCAAGGCTGCTGGCAGGCCTGATATGATCTGGAAGAAAGGGATAGGCCTCATCTGTTGTCCACATGACAAAGAAAGTAAGTACAGAAAGGCTGCTGGCAAGTCTCATGTGGAAGAAAGAGATGGGTATCATTTATCATCAAAAGGATACATCACCACTAGTTTTCATCAGCTACAACACATGCCATGAACTCTGAGTATTTTTGGAATTAATAATTGCATGCCTATAACTGAACATACCTGCAAAAGAACATATGGAAGATAGTATGCCAAGCTTTCCACCCAGACGACCATGGTCATCAATCTCACACGGACCATGCATCAAACGTTTCAGTGGAAACCTGCTTCGTTTGCAAAAGTGTGCAGTGAATGTTCTGACTTTGAACGACTGGCTATACTTCCTGTCTCTTCTAATTTTTCAATCAATCTGCTAACAACAACAACTATTCATGACTCACATCTGTGACTGGGCCAGCAGCAGTATGCCCCCTCAGTATTGTAACAATTTTGAAAGTATAGCTTTATAAACATGATTACAAACTTAAAACTGCAACTACCAACAACATACTGGTTGTCTGTTCCATCTTGTGCTAGCCTAATTAGCATCTGTAATGCCTCTATCACCATTTCCAGAAACTATCGAAATGCTTTTCCCACGATTCCTTATATGTTTACAAAATGTTTTGTCTGTTAGTGATTGTTCTAAAGACTGTTACAAATGTCCATGCTGACTTGATAATACCCTGTACTACTGTAAAAGTGGCCATTTTCAATCGCAGAAAAATTCCCCCAGTTGATGACAACTCAAAAGATATTCTCTGAAAGGGTTCTAAGCTGGACATCTAAGACATTGATACAAGCATCATCCCGAAGAATAAAACGGTAACCTGATAACCAAACAGCTCTATCATGTGTACATGATTCTATGATGTACATCAGCATGTAGAAGTAAATACTGTACCACGTGCAGCTAGCAGAACAAAACCCACACACAATCTTTCACATTTAACAC